GACTATTGTCAATTAAATCTAATGCTTTCTTTTAAATAGTTTGTGAGTTGATTATTCAGATCAAATAGTGTAAAGCAAATGTATCTACTTCTAAAAGACCAGGTCTTACTATGTACAAAACCTATATAAATAAATTAAATTGAATTGAATTTGTATTGCATGCGCTCCACGTTTTTCGTTTTCAGTCTCATAAATGGTTTATAATGACTTTCGCTAAAATTTCAAAATCAAAAGTTATCAAAACAAATTCTATGGGACTGAGAAATACTATTTTCTTATTTTTAATCCCTTTATTAAAGCGTTGTATATTAAAGATTTTTTATTTTATTTTATTTATTTGCATTTCAGCTGACGATATGCTGGTATTTTACTTGTCGAAGGGTTATAATTTGATTAACATAACTTGCAAGTTTATGAGATAATTGTTAACAATTATTCATTTTCAGGCAAATAAACATAACTTGCAAATTTATGAGAACAGTTCTGTGTATACAACATTTATAGAAATCAGGCATCAAAGAAAAAAGTTATAGAAAGCTAGTCGAACCAGGGTGCCCAATTTTTTTTTACACTCGGGATATACATACATATGTACTCTCATGAGTGTGAGTGAGTGTTCGAAATCGCTGGGATCAAATTGAACATCGTGATACGGTCTAATGTAGGTACATGCGCTATCGTATTAACATTAATTCTCTTCTAATAAGAGTCAACTCAATTATCCCAATTCCTACCCGCCTAATTTGCCATAAAGAGATTTATTAAGCGATGGAATTTTCCATATTATGTACATATGTACTTACATATCACGATTTAATAAAGAGGCGACGAAGAAAACACGATTCTAGCTGTTTTTAGGACGTTGTTACGGCGGAAATTTTCATGATGCCAAAATCCTCTCGAGGTAGGCTTCCAAGCGTAGTGAATTAGGCGCAGTATCCTCCTCACACATAGGCCAATAATAGTAACGCTGTGATACCATATGGAATACTAATCCCTTTTGGCGTCATGAGCTTTACTGATAGTCTTATTTCCACCTGTGAGATCTCTGCCAATCATGCGTAATCTTTTTTTTTGATCTTGCAACTACAACATTGGTGCGATGCGTATGCCAACAAAAGTTCTTATAGGGAAACTCAAGAGCACAGAAGTGCGTTTTCTTTATAGGAGGGCCAAGAATCCTCGCTGTCCCACAGGATGACAAGTTTTCCGGTACATTGCTAAATGATCTCTTAAGTATCTTTCAAATGAAGCAATTGAAATACCTACGGTGATCTTTCCTTGTTAATTCACCACTTTTACAATTCGTGGTAAAATTTATGAATTGATTTCTGGGTAGATGCAAGACCGCATGACCGTGCATGAGGGCGTCTGAAAACTAAATTCGTATAACTTAAGCATAGGTCGAAAGCAGACCAACCACACGGGGTTTCTATACATTTCGGCTGCAGCGCCATCCATTGGGTTCATTTTCTGCAAAACCATTGCTTACTATAAAATGAATACGTGTTTTGAATTTCAACCCTAACTCCAGCGGTACTAATCGGGTAAATTTTTATCAAAAGAATTTTTCATCATACAGGTACATAGCTCACATTTAAAATTTGAACGAAATCGGTTAATAAATACGATTTTTATAAATAACTCTACTCCAGTACCACCTAGCGAGCTTTATAGTAGCATGTAATTGGACCATATATGTATGTAAGATAACCTCCGACAATCTGACGGAACTCTATTCAGTGTTTTTTGAGTTTATTCCGAACAACGAAAACGGCTATCATTATGAAAATAGGTATGTAGAGAGGACTGTTTATAGCGAAACTCATAAAAGCAGAGCTCCATTCTTTGTGAAAAATTAAAAAAAAATCTTCAAAATTTTCACATAAATTTTACTTTACTGAAAATTAAAGACAAAGTTACAATATTTCAATGGGATTTAGAAATCTAGGAGAAAATGGTTCCCAATCGAATGATACTTGCGCGTTTACGTAAATGTATATCGATCCAGCCTTTCCAATAATTACCACTTTTCGCCATAACTACGGTATTGATAACATATGTAGCTGTGTAGAATTTCAGGACGTTAGCGTAAGCAGTTCCAGAGATAAGCTATATGAGAAGTTCAGTTTGTATGGAAGGAAGGAGCCACGCCCCCTTTCCCAATGTATTTGCAATATATGCATCAGTGCTAAGTTTCAGTTCCCCAGCGTAATTGGTTTTAGAGATATATTGGTTTTTTGCGTTTTAGTCTGTATAAGAATTTTGGGAATATTCCGAGCTATATACCGAGTAAATTTTTGGTCAGAATATTTATTTTCAACTTGTTGCCAAATATGAACCAAGTCGATGCAGCCGTTTAGTAGTTTAGTGAAATACATTGTAAAAAGAACTGTATGAAATTGTAAAACGTGACGTCTCAGATTTCTTTTAAATTTTTTGGCAGCAACAACGAAAAGTTTTAATTTTTTTTAGCGAAAAACCTTCCACACAGAAATAAAAAAAAAATAAGTTTGTGGTTATATCAAGGCGAAATTTTGAGAAAGGTCCGTTGCTAACTCTAAATATAAACAACGACGCACTGGAAAAAGTTAATACGTTCAAATACCTGGGAATAATGATCGACGATAAACTAAAACAAAAAAAATTTATTCTATATTTTCAATTAGAGCTCTAGCAATATGTACATCGGTGAAAACTGCATTTAATTCCATACATTAGCTTTTGCGTGATACGCTTACAAACATACAGACAAATATACCAAAATTTTATATTTGGCTTCTGTTGATCTAATAAACCCCATATTAATTTTTCTTTAACATCTATTACGTACAGATATCGGCCTGTTGCAATTTTATTATTCTCAAATACTCTCATTTGATACCCATATGGCAGCACTTAGTTTATATTATAAATTTAACTGAATTAAAGTTTTCAAACCCGCTTCAAGAATATTTTCAAAAGTAAGCTTCCTAATCCTCTTTAGTTTAATATTCGTATTGCAATATTTCATTTATTTTACAAATTTTAATGAATACAATTTTTCAATCAGTTGGCAAATCCCCTAAAAATATTTTTAGCATTAAAATTTCCTGGCCTCTTTAGTTTGATGCCAATATTGCAATATTTAATTTATGCTATCAGTTAAATTAAATTAAAGTTTTCAAATAGGTGGCAACCTTCCACAAAAATATTTTCAGATGTAAGCCTTTGTAAATTTCTTTATTTTGACAGCCATATTGCAGTATTCACTTTACCGTATCAATTGACCTAAACTGAAATTTGAAACACAGGTGGCAACTCTCTAATTTTTTCTTCTATATTGGAAGCTAGATCTCTAGCGATACATCGGTGAAAACTGCATTAAATTCCATGTTTTCGACTGATGCGCGTACAAATATACAGACAGACGGAGATTCAAAAATTCTAAAAATTGTTTATTTGGCTTCTGTAGCTTTAATAAAAACCCACTATATTAATTTTTCTTTAATATCTATAAAAAACAGACATCGACCTGTTTCAATTTTATTATATGTATAGATGTAGATATAGATTTTATTTATTTAATGAATTTAATACAATAAAATTTTTCAAAAAGGTGGCAGCCCTCCCTAAAAATATTTTCGGCAATATAATATCCTAAACCCTTTCAGTTTGATACCCATATTGCAATATTAAATTTATCTTATGAAATAAATTAAATGTAAATTTTCAAACAGGTGGCAACTCTAAAAAAATATGTTTGGCTGTAAGCCTTCTTCAGCCTCTTTCTTTTGACGCCCATATTGTAATACTTATCAATTTACCTAAACTCCAATTTTCAAACAGGTTGCAACTCTCTAACTTTTTTATTCCTATATTTTAAGTTAGACCTCTAGCAATACATCGGTGAAAACTGCATTCAAATCCATGCATTCGTTTTCGAGTGATGCGCGAACAAACATACAGACAGACAGACAGACAGACATAAATTCTAAAAATGGTTGATTTGGCCTCTGGTGCTCTAATAAAGACCCCCCACATAAATTTTTCTTTAATATCTATAATGTACAGACATCGACCTGTTACAATTTTATTATATGCTATCTTTTTTCCATGCAATCAACTGGTGTTTTTAACATGGGGGATGTCCTACGAGATGGCAATTGTCAGATTTTGGTCAGAAATATACCAGTCTCATACTAGGTCAAAATAGACAGAAAAATCCTAGTCCAATTATGGACCAAAACCACTACTTTGGAAGTCAAAAAATAAAATGAATTCATGAATATACAATAAAAAAACTTTTGATTAAGTACACTTTAATACATTACACATTTTTATTTAGCTTAGATTTGCCAATAATTAATGTTAAATTGTTTGAGTATTAATTAAAAGGGAAAATAAATAGATACATAAATATTTCAAACTTTCGAACCAAAATTTAAATGCATTATACATTAAACGTTATTAAGAGTAAAAGCTTTCAGGTACAATAAATACTATATTTTTATCTTTTTCAATAATAATGAATATGGAAAAGAAAACATTTTGGTTAAACATAAAACTAACATTTTAGTTAATTTTTGAGTGAACTAAAATAAAGATAAAAGTTTTCATTGAAATAAATTAAATTCATTAACTTTGCACATTTCAGTCCTTTCTTTTGAAAATTTTTAAAAAGTAATAATTAATGTTTAAAATTTGAGATTCGGATAAGAATAAAATAAATAAATAATTCAAGCAGTTATTAAATGTTCTTAATTTTTGTTGATTGATAATTGAAATTAATCAAATTATTATTTAATCGTGTAATTAAAAAAGTCAAAGATGATTGAAAATACTCGAAAATAATAAAGTAATGATGTAATTAAAAATAACGAATTAATTAAACATGTTTGTTTAAGTAATTAATTATTAATCATTAAAAAGGTGCTAATATCAGTATTTAATCATTAAGCGATTATCCAAAAACATGCTTTAATTAGTAGTCATTATGAATATTAATCATTATTTAACAGGTATGGTATAATGGCGAGTACGGACTCGCTTTAACGATTTACAATATACCCAAATAAAAGCTATAATATTTAGTGTAGCCTATTGTATTAAACTGTCGAAGTCAAATAAAACAGGGCTTGAATAAATCGTTTTTACTTCGTACAAGTCTGGTAATTTTTGAACTAGTTCAGTTTCAGTCAGGAAATTATAGTTGTAAACTAGTATTTTTCCTGACTAGTTTGGGGTTTCACTGCAGGGATGTTTTCCATTAAATATTTTCAAAATTGTTTCGTTACAGTGTATTTGGTATGAGTGATAAAAGCAGTATCACTAACAGCCTTCCCAATAGTCCTATTCATACTTCCACGTCGGCCAACAACAATAACAACAGCAGCATTAACGGAAATAATGGCTGCAATAAGAGTCCAACTCTGCTCAAGAATAGCAATAGCAACAGCAGCACAGGCCTTATCAACGGCAGCAACAACAATGGACCACCAAGTCTGTGTAATGCCAATGGCAACAATAACAACAACACATGCAGTGCCAATCGTAACGTTCTCGACAATGAATCACCATGCTTCCGCATGGATGCCGACGTGCCGTTCGGCGAGAAGGAGCCCGACCCAGACAATATCAAAATGTTTGTTGGGCAAGTGCCAAAATCCATGGATGAAGCACAATTGCGTGAAATGTTTGAGGAGTATGGTCCAGTACATTCAATAAATGTACTGCGCGATAAAGCGACTGGAATCAGTAAAGGTAAGTGAATTTAATAACTATATATGTGTGTATGTACCAGGGTTGTCCGCGTTAAATTCTAACATTCGCACTCGCTTTCGAGTTCCCAATAATCAATGCGGAGCTTTTACGAGCGTGAATGTTGTGCAAGTACACCGATAAAACTTATATCTGGCAACCAAATGAAAAATTGTAGCCAATTTTTTTTTTCGTGGTCGTGGGAATATTTGTGTAACAAAACAGGGCAAATGGCATATATATCAACATTGATAAAAATGTCTTTAAACATATTATTTCGTAAGCTATGTATATAAACGAGTTATCAATGCGCAGTCATACAAGCTCCCACTTCTAGTTGACCTTTGACGTACGTCAAAGAGAACATAGTTCTTTTAATCTACACTAGTGTTCGCCCTGCGGTTGAAATTCAACCTTTTAAATTAAGGGGAGATGAGGTGGACTTAGCCGAACCGAGTTGAGTTTAGTTGAGTTGATTGACGTTAATTGAGCTGAAATATCTCGAACAACATAACAGAATATAACATAACGTAACATGACACAACATAAGATAACACAATACAAAACAACACAACATAACATAACACAACAAAACATGACATAACATAACATAACATTGCATAACATAACATGTAACGTAACATGTAACATAACACAACACAACACAACACAACACAACACAACACAACACAACACAA